ATCTCTAATTCGTAAAACGAACGGATCCTATAATGTTTACTCGAACAATAAAAGTGGGTCTACATTTACTGTATATCAAATCATGTGGATGGAAAGTGTTGCCTATTAAAATATAATATGTTAAGATACACCCACCTTAAGACGCATCGAAATCTCAGGTGTAGTGTTCAAAATGCATTTTTATGAAATTTATGAAATTTAATAAATTGACGTACGTGTTATAATTTCATTTATTTTTAAAATGAATTTTCAAGAAGCGTTTTCACGTAAATTTTTTAAATTTCAAATATATGTAAGTTACAATTTTGCGAAATAATATTAAGATACCGCGAATATGGATGTAACTATCGTGATATTAATTAACAACCTTGTTAATCCATAATCCATTGTGGCTACACAATTAACATAACGATCAAGCAACTACAGTTAATTGCGTTTAAGTGCTTATTATATAATAAGATATATAAAGATAAATTATTATCATTTAATTATATCGCGCGATAAAGATTGAGAGTTTATAACTGTTCCTTAGATAAATGCACGAATTATTTTATAAACAAAATTTTCTACTAATTAGGAGCTTTCGTAGATCACTGTACAAATCGTTTGTTTTTGTCTATCATTAATGTATGTTGTATAATATGGTGAATATTTTTTATAGGAGATATTTGTTTGCGAAATTCATATACACATATAGTTAGAATTTTATAGCGATTTTAAAGTGTAATTGTACGTATTGCACATATATATATATATATAAAACAAGTGGAAAAATGTTAATACAAATTGTTGCAATTAAGATTAAGCGATTATACATATGTACAAGGATAAATGCACGAAGGGCTTTGTATTTTATAATGCACAAATTTATATAGAATGCATAAGTGCATATTGTATACAATCCTATATAAGAAAGATATTTTATTTATCTTTAATGTTTTTTTTTTAAATATTTTTTTTTTATTGCATTTTATCGTTCGACAAAAAATTTATTTTTAGGATTTTGTTAAGATTTTTATGTTTTCTTTCAAATTCTACGAGATATAGATTACTATTGAAGGTACTATTTATTGTGAATTTTTTATTAAAAATGTTTACTCGATTTTATAATATCTGCGTGTTTGTAATTTATATGCTAAACTATATAAATAATTAATAAGAGCAGGGTCTGATGTATATATATATATTGTTAATTTTGCACACAATGTAGCATCACACTGATGGCAATATGGAGGAACGATCGATATGATCGAGATAGTTTGTAGTATTTAAATACGTGTTTTGTACAAATTTTAATTACTGTTTTCTTGTTGTCAATGAATACAATGAATGAGAACGAAAATTTGTAATGATTATTTATCGTCATTAATCATTCATCCGTTTCAATCTTTGTTTCTAATTAAAAAAAAATGTACGTGATCAATCTGAAAAAAAAATAATTGCATCGAAATTAATTTTTTAACTAACACGATTAGTAAAAGTTATCTATTTCACTTTTATAATGTTTTTTTAATGTTTCTATAAGAAATAGAATTTCTAAATCATCGTCACGTTCATCAATTACAAAATAATATAACAATGAGAAATATTTATTATTTTATTGGATATATATAACTACGTTATATATATTCATTTTTTTCTATTTCCAAATGCAATTGTCAATAAATTGCAACATATATTTTCTTCGATCGAATCGAATAAAAACAAGTGAAAGTAATAAATTATTATCATTTGTTTACAAAAATTTATTCACTTGGAAAAGATTAAATAGATTAACAAAAATGATGATAGGTAATTAATATTTAGTTTCGTTATCTTTTCTCTTTATTTTGTCCGATAATGTACTATTATTTAATTTAAGTTTTTAATTTAATTATTTTTTTAATTTAACTATTGTCAAAATATCTTGAAATAGCAGGAATAGTTGAATAGGACCTCGAGCGGAAGAAGATTTATCTTAATGGCGAAATATATTGGTTGAGCCATCCGTAAATGTACTAGCAATGGAATTTATTGAAATAGCTCAATTATAGCATCTTCGATTTTACGAATATCGGGAGAAAATTTACGATTCATTGCACATTTTATTATCCATCTATTGAAACATAATTTAGAACATCAGATATGCAATTTATTTTTCTATTTCTCGAATATATTTCTTCTATAATCCTACCAATTTATAATTATGAATATAACAATTACGAATTATAACAATATTTGAGATAAATATATTAATTGTGATATATAAAGTAATTGATATATCGTGATATTGATTATAATTTTTTATTAAGTTAAAGATACATTTTATTTGGTACGTTTTCGGGTGGGACGGTTATCTAACTAAGAAAAGGAATAGAATTTTAAAAGGATTTTTGTAACAGATCGATTTTATGAAATGAAACAATAAAACTGACAGCAATAATAATTTATTGCTTACAGAATTGATAGTTAAAACTTTGCGTGACAATATTCAATAGATCAGACCGTAACATTTGGAATGTAAAAAACTTCATTATGCATTGAATCTAATAATAGCATTACGAAGTAATCTTTATTTGTTAAATCGAGCAAATGCCATACTTGATATATTTATTTGTATTTTATATAATGAAGGATTCAATAGAAATTTTTTTATAAAATTTTACATCTATTTTCTATATTACAATTTTAAATAAATTTATAAATTTTTTTTACATATCTACATTGAATTTTTAAAATCACTGCAATTGTAAATATATATACATACAATGAAAATATCGATTATGTTATTTAAAAGTGAAACATAATTTTTATAGAATTTCCAACGTTTCCAAATATTTGCCTCTGTTTTCCGATTCGCCTCATTTCCGATTCGTTGCAAAGTGTAACGATTATGGAAACGCTTCTACAAATGTGTTCTCTACTGTAATATCGAGCAATCGAAACTTGATCGTTCGTGGTACGATCGAAAACGCCGATTTACGTCTTTGCTTATGCAATCGAAAGAACAGACAGAAACGCATAGCATTCTTGCTATCTTGACAACATCGATAAACGATTGATTTCTATTCGGTTTTCTATGCAAAATCCTTGTACATTATTTCTATCTCAAAAATAGTTTTAATTTCTATTACTGTTTCTATTATTTCAAGAATTATTAAAATATTTTGAAATTTTTGACGAGAACGATAACGATATATCAGAAAGGATGGCATAACAAGAGATATAAAAAATGATGGAAATAATAAGAGATATGGAAGAGAAACTATGGAATCGAAACATGAATTAATATAAGAGATAGAACGATGTTGGAAGCGCACAAGTAAACAATAGGGAAGAAATAGACATGAAATATGCGTGGAGATAATAGAGAAAGCGTGCAACGAAACGATAAATTCATCTCTAACATAATGTCAAATTTTTTGTTCTTTGAACAAAGAGATTGATTAAAAATAATTGAAATATTGAATCGTAAAATTGCCTAAACAAGCAAAAAGTTTGAAATTTCATTTACAATTAGATTTAAATTATCATCGATAAAATTTTAATTCGAATCGATAAATTGTAAAAAAAGATTTATTATTATTAGTATTAAGAAAATGCGATAATATAATGATATATAATATGATAAAAAATTAAAAGAAGAAAGAAAAAGTACTAAGAAGAATGAAGAGGAAGGCAATGTTGAAAAATAAGTGCGAAGAAAATAAGTTGAAAGATCGAAAGGATAAGAAGGATAAGATCGAATGTATAAGAATGTACGTAAGTAAATATATATAAAGAAAGAAATACAAGAAGAAGAAGGAACAAGGGACAAGAAACATAGCATGGAAAAGAGTAAGAATAAATCAGTTAGAAGCTCTATCAAGGACGATAAGAAGAATATAAGGAGGGATCGTTGTGAAATAGAAACGGTTGGTTGAGAAATGTGGGGTAAAAAACGAAATTTGTAGAAAGTTGGCGAGATGATGACGGTGGGTGCTGCCACCTGCGTGGAGGGCGTGGCGCTAGTTCTATCGGAGTTTAGTTTAACGAGAGCTTTGGCACGCGTCGCACAACTCTGGAGCAGCACTCGTGTCGCTTCGGCCAGCCGCGTGAGAGTGAGAGAGAGAGGGTGGGAGGAGCGCGAGAGGTGAACGATGGTGAAGGAAGAGAGAGGTGGGAAACGGTGAACGCGAGTAAGATAGAGAGAAAGGATAACGACGAGAAATCCAAAGGAAATACGAGACGGAAAAGGACAGATTTATAGAGTGGATTGAATATATATGGTAACAAGCAGTATATGAGTGTAGAGGAGAAGAGCGGATTGACGACGACGATGACGAAAGAAAAATAATGAACACGAAGATGAATGAAGAACCATTCGGATGCAGTTGATGTTGCGGCGATGAGGAAGGTTCCCGAGTGGAGGACGCGATACGCGTTGGCGCCGCCAGAACGAAGGATAGTAGATTTGAAATCACAGTGCTGATCGTACAGACGAGAAAAGCACAGAAGCGGCAGTGACCATGGCGCCCCTGCTCGCATGTAAACAGTGCTTCATGCTCGATGCACGTTTCGAGAGTAATGTAACTAGTGCCAGCATTCTTATGGAGAGTAAACATAGTTACAGTGGTTGTCACCGTCATCGTTATCGTTACTTCTCACGTTCCAGTCGATTTCCCCGAATCCGATGAACAATCGTCGAAATCGCAATCGAGAAGTTGCCGAAAATATCGCAGACGTCCTGAGGCAAGACGGTATGGACGGTAGAGACGAGTCATGATCCTCGTCCTGCCGTGTCACCGTTATCCTCATCCTCGTCCTCGCCGTCGTCGTGGTGGTTGTCGTCGCCGCCGCCGCCGCGCGAAACCGTGTTCCGGTCGTTTGTGTTTGTTGATTCGTCGTCGATGCGTCGAACGTGTGTGCGCGTGCAAGACGCTGAACCGAACTTACGAACGACGGTCAAACGTGATTGATGCGTGACGCATTCAACTGCTACCTAACAAGTGGTAACGAGTCCGAGAAACAAGTACATTTTTTTGCTCGATACTTTTTTCTTTTCCTTTCTGTGTATCTTTTACGAGATTTTCATTCGTGTTTGCTTATTTTCTTCGCATTCAGTGATAATCGAATAGTGATCGGAGTACAAAAAAAAAGCATATAACCTAAACGAACATGTACCGTGAGAATAGCGCAAGAATAGCGGTGTTATAATCTCATCAAATTTCACACGTGTGCAAATTCATCTTCAACCTTGAACCGTTATTCGTGCAAAGAAATTGTCTTAACCTTTTTCTTTTTTGAAAGAATTGGAATTGATCCGACACGCAAGAGCGAAATAGTCTGTTGCATCAATCGTAAGTGATTCTTATATTTTTTATCGACGTTTTATGTTTTATCGTACTTTCCTCGAATCTCATACTAAGAAGGTTATTTGCTGTTAATAATCCTGTGTCGCATTGATTTTTGAGAGAGATGTTTCTATGGACGATTTTGAATTCATTCATGTAAGATATTTTTGTGTCGAGAAAGATAAAATATCGTTACTAATGCTGAAACATTTTAACGATTTTATTAGTGAATTGAGGTTATTTTGGTCAAACTAACTAACTTATTTCCTAACATGTAACTCTTAAAATTCAACGACATAATTTCGTTCTAATTTTATAAATATTTTTTGATATACATTTTTTTTGTTTTTTATTTAATAATAATAATAAGATTTTTCGATGAACTTTAATCGAAAAGTATAAATGAGTAAAAATATAGTGTTTTTAATCATTTCATTTAAAAGAAACGTAAAACAAATTTTACTCGTTTAACATTTTTTTCTCGTATATTGCAACTTTTTTGTGCTAATTTCAGAAATCTCTCTTGAAATTGCTGATTATTTTCAAATGAGTTCATAGCGTATCGAGAATTGCGAAGTTCGATACTCGAATCGAATAGACAGGTGGCTCTGTGCAAATCCTTCGTTGACTTTCTTCAGTGTGATTTCGATCTTCTTATTTCATTCGATGTTTTATAAGTTTGTGATTAAACGAGGAAATTTGATGTGTCACTTTTTCGTTAAAATTGATATATGGTATATTGGTATTGATATATGATGTGTTTTTTTCATATGCATTTATATAAAATTTATTAGTTTGCAAAAAATTGACATTTATTTATGAATAGTTTGAAAAAAAATTAGGAAGAATATATAAATCTTTTTAAGAATATTGTGATGATATTACATAGTTGAACACGAACTTAGAATCATTGTATTGCAACATTAAAAAATTATGATAAATCAATTTTGCCATAACAATTTTTTTTTATACAAATGATTCACATTTTTTTTTATATGATTCAAAATGATTCAAATGATTGATTTTGTCGTTTTTGATAGAATTGATTTTAATCTAAATTTTATAAGTTGCACGAATTCGAAACAAATTCGAATTTTTCATTTTGCGATAATTTTATATTCTTGTATGTATTTCATAATAAATCGTGGTTTTTTATTCATTAATATCGATAAGTTATTCAAGTTACAAGCTTCAGATTAAAAATGAATTTTTCCTTCGATAAGCAAATCAATTTTTTTATCTTTTTTCTCCAATTGAAAATTATAAATAACGAGAATTATAAAAGTTAATTGCAACACATAATTTGGTATATTTAATGGTATTAATATATAAATCTTCTCTCCGATCAAGTTAAAATACTTAAATTGATTACACGAAACAAAATGCGAGACATTTGAAAATCGCTTATTGAAATTTCGTTTTTTAAAATTTATGATAAAAGAATATATAGGATCGTGGCATATTTACGAAGATTTATTTTCGCTGAATTAGACGGTTAGACTTCCGATTGGGAGGCATAAATTCTAAAAGCTGACCGATCGATCGCGCCTGATAAAAGTCCCAGTCGCAAGACTTGGCGAGCTTCGGTGGTCCGAGTTGAGAGTTTCAGTTAAAATTATTAGCTTTCGACTTTCTCTACCGTGTCGATCTTCGGAAACTTTCCGGATGCTAGTTGCTTTCGACTCTATCCGTCGACTTCTTTTTCGTTGTAAAGAGAATCGATACGCTCGACGTCTCGACGCATCTTTCCAACTGTTCAGAGACTAGAGATATTCTATGAAACTTGGAGAAAATTGTTGAAACTTTGTAAATGGATGTTTTGTCCTTAGATGAGAGAGATTAGGACGTGTCTGCCTGAAAAGTTTGATATTTCGGAGTTATAGTTGATAGATACCGAGGATCTCTTTCGGAAAATTGAGTTAAGAGTTCCAATAAATTGTGTAATACGTATCGGTTTTGTTTACCGAAAGTTCTTACGAATTGAAAATTTTTTAAATCAATTTTTTCTCAATCGAAACGTATTTTACTTTACCTTTCTTTTCTTTTTATTTTATCGAGAAATATGTCGATTAAATTGTTCAATCTCTGTCAAATATCAATGAATGTAATCATTGATATAAATCTATAATGTAAAAAAGTTGAGCAAATACAGATAGATAAAATGTCGATAAAATATATTATTAATATTTACCAATTATAATTAAGATATCTCGTATCATTTCAAATTGTACGTATAATATATAAATTTATACGATTAAAATCAAATATGAAGATTTGAATAAACGAATGTTGAATTAAGAGAACGTGTAAAATCACGTTTTTTTTTTTTTTTTTAAATCGATGAACAATTTAACCAACTCTCTGATTGTTCTGTGTGATGTTTCAGACGAATCTGGGGCCCGTTCGTGTCGCGAAACGAGCCGCGAAATTCAGTGACTCGCACGCTTACGATAGAAAGAACGTGGTTCGTGCGAGTGTTAACACGCGAACGATCGATAACGAGAATCGATCGCGCATCGTGACTCGATCCGATCGTTCGGTAGTGAGGCAAGTCGATTGCAATGGTGTTGCACGAAGTGATGATCTTCTGCGTGATCGAATTCGGAAGAAGTTCAACACCTCTGTGTTGCCCCCTGCTATTCACTCATACGTACAGAAGACTGAGGTGTATTATTCCGCACTCCAAACAACATATCGCTTATCCACCATAAGGTGAGTCATTTGTATTCATATACTTATTACACATATATTTTTACGATATAACGAAAATTATCTCGACAATCGATACTCTAATTTTCTTTCACAATTGAAATGCGAATAAAATTTAATTGTAATAATCGAATTATCGTTATTACAATTAAATTATTATTATTTCGAGATTGTATATAATTCTGTCGTCTAATTTCTGTCAATACAAAAAATTCGATTTTCGTTTCAACAAACCAAAAGCTTCACCGGGATTAAATTTCGATGGGTTATCGATTTTGTAAATTATATTTTCCATAGCGAAATCTTAGCGAAAGCAAAAGCTCATCGTAATAAAATTTCACGATTTATTCGAGAACACGAGACGCGCAGTCGCGTTATTTTCGCCAAAGGACGAATTCCTGTTTCCTTTGTCTCTTTGATTCGTATCGTTAACTCGCAGAAATGCGTTGCGCGGTTACTTCCATCGATTTTTAAAACAAAGCGTATCTCATGGAGCTCTAGAAAAGTCGAGGTCACGGGTTAGCCATTAAAAAATTAATTGCAGCATGCGATCTTAGCGTATTACCATTTACCTGTTGCGTGTTCGTGTCGACGTGTAAAAAGACGCGTTGCGAATTGACTCGCGTTATCAAGTGGAAACAAAATTATATATCAGAATCGATCGAAGAAAAATTTTTCAAAGTATGATTCGTTTCTCGATTAAACACACATTTAAGAAAGAATTGAAATTCAACTCGGCATTATTTTTTTATTTTAGTATTGGTTTTAGTATTGATATTTTATGGTAATAATTTTGAACAATTGGTGCACCGATAAAAAGATGGAATAGACAATAATAATCAAGATGAAAGAATTATAATCGACGAGTGATCAAAGTTCGAATTAACGCATCATTAAATCCTTAATATAATGGTTCGAGATATAGCAAAGTATATATCCGCATTTGTAATATTTCGCTTTTTGTCAGTGCACGATTTTCTTTTCTCGAACAAGGGGAGAATTCCCGTGGATCGAATCCAGTATCGTGTCCCACGGACAACGAAGCTCGGAGGTAGACGTGTCTAAAAGAAGTTCCGTGGGTCGACCAATCGAACGATATTTGTTAATCGTTGCAACGCCATTATGGGACAAACAACGCAGTTTACTCGGTTAACATCGTTTGCGCGGAAGTAATGTTTGCTTTCGTCAGCGACCCTTGCTTTAAACGAGATTATAGGCCGCAAAGGCGAGCTTTTATTTTTACCCTTATTCGTTCCGCAGATCGTGATCCGGCTAATAAACGTTTTCCGGATGCTATTCCAACCCTTTCTCGCGTGTACACTAAAAACCTGTGACATTTTTCCCCTAGGCGCGAAGCCTCCTATTTGTGTACACACGTGTCCGTGTCATAAGTTTACCTTGTCTTTTCGTTGCATGAATTTTACAAGAGTTTTCCTATTTTTATCCTCCGAAGAGAATTCAAAATGGATATTTTTCCAAAAAAACAAACGAACGATACTTTATACAATAAAATATAGAATGTTTCTTGTTTATAATAACAGAAATGTCGACTCTTCTTCTTTCCAAAAGATCGCTAACGCGATCTTTGCAACTTATCTCCAAAGTCATCAGATTTCATTATATACGTATACGTTCTTCCAGTATGAATCTTTGTGGAAATTCTGTTTTCTCGAATAAAGTCGGTTTGTTCAAACGACTAGGACTTTTGAAGGAACGACACAATTCGCGATCGAGCCTTTACAGAAACAGAGATATGAAATAAAGTCAATTTAATCTAAAGTCGACTTATTCAAAGTCGAATATAATACATATGTGAATTCATTTATTTTCGTGTACAGATACAAAAGTTTATACATTTTGTTTTATTCCTCTTATCATTTTTCTCTACTAATATTTTTAATTATTAGGAGAGAAGAATTATAAATTTTAAAAATTATTTAAACAAAGATTGATTGAAAAATCGTAAAAATATAAATATAGAGAATTGTAACTTTGAGATGATAGATGTCTTATGGATGAAAATTTAAGAAAAATTCAAAGCCAACTTTTCTCTCTTCGTTTGATTAAATTTTCAATCCGTTGAAACTTTTTCATACGTTGAAATAATTTATATATTTTATAGTTTATATATTTAACGATTTGATTCTTTTTGCGCCATATCTTTAACTTTTCGTTGAATAAATACGAAATGAATAACGAATATAAAACATCGAGTTTGAAATTGAAAACTCAATATTTTTATACGCGTTGTTTCATCACATATTTGCAAAATTTTGAAATTATGTTGCTTTTTTTATATTTACACTTCTTTCCACAACACCATAACCGTTTTTTCCCTCTTTTCTATTCTAGTTGCGAGGTTTCGCGTAATATTTCCAGTTATATAATGATATTGATGATCTAAGGCCGTTAACGATGTCTCACATGCATACAGGCGACATATTGCACAACGGAATTACCACCGAATAATTATTGCACGTGACATTTGCATATACGCGCCGCCACTCGGATCGCAGTTATTTTCGTTATTGTTCACCAGAATGTTGTAATGTTGTTTCTAAACAATTGGTTTCCATTAGAATTGCACGTCTCCACCAGCTTATACATCGCGCTCGACGGAGCACAGCGTGATTAGCACTTTCTATCGAGCGTTTTAATCCTCATCAATGTTCATTGTATTCTATCAACCGTGTGTAATTATTCTTTTTCGACGCGTCATATTTATCCGTGTATTCGATGTTTTTTTGAAAGTCTTTCGAAAAGAATCGATTGGAACAAGGATAAGAAGTATCGTTTTAACGAGACAGATGAAAAATTGATATCGTCCTCGAACGGAATGAACATTTTATTGGATTTCCCGTTTCACGATTATTTTTCATGAAATACTTTTTCATGAAATATTTCTTTTCACACCGAAAATTGTTACCCTTCTTTCAAATGTAAATATTCGAATAAACAATGATTCATTTATTCGTTTCAATTTGTTCGGTTTTAATTGTTACGGATGTCGAGAAAAAGGAATCGCCGAAGGGGAATTGTATTTTTGTACCGAAACACTAGTTTCGTTTAATTACTTTTACTTTTCTCCCTCAAAGAGTTGGCAAAATGTCAAAAATTTTTTGCCCTTTTAGTCCATGCATCGTTCCATCATTTAGTTATATTTTTCTTGCAATTTTTTTCTCGCATGGGTTAAACATATTGTACGCGTACTCGAAATTTTTATATGCACAGAGAAAAATATAAGATTTTTCTTCTTCTTTTTTTTTATTCGAAATTTTTTCCAAGACAATATAATTTAACGATAACGTCTTTACAAAATTTCCTGTATTTTAATTCATCTCGACATTGTCCATGTCGACGTCGTATACGTATTGTTAAAATATTCATCTACTTGAATGTAAAATGTAAATACCCGATGAAGAGATTAGGTTGGTACGGTTTTTGATGAAAATCGAATCGTGTATTAACGAACAATCGTGTTCGCGACACGTTGATCGTTCGAGTTTAAATAATTGCGAGACATTAGAGTGAGATTACGTAGAAAATACATCATTATCGAGAATACGCGTCGATGAAATCTAATTAAACGGAACGGAATAGTATGAAACGGAGAAAGGGACAGGATTTTCCGTGAATCCATTCGAATTTAGCGCGCGAATTTTCAGAAACTTAAAACGCTCTGATGAATTTCTTCGTTTTTTGTAAATCGATACGAGTTCATTCAATATCTCGATAATTATACGAATCGCAATTATTCGATACATTTTTTTTTTCTTATTTATTTGTTCTTTTGAAATAATTCAAAAAATCGTAATATTTCTCTGTTTAATTTCTTTTTTTTTTTTACGATATAAAATATGTCGAGGTTTTTATTTTATTTTACCAACGATACTCATCAATGTTATAACGATCTATCCAATTTTCATATATCCGAATATATCTTGCTTAACTTCGAAGTTTCATTCGTCGAATGAAATTTTTTTCTCTACCAAAAGTGGGCAATGTTTGTCGCGTTAAAGAGGGTGCGTTTGCACGATATTTTCCCTATGTCTTAGAAGATGTTATCACAATGCACGACAGAAGCCTTTGTTTCACTTTTCACCCCTTCCATCTTGGTTGCTACTACTGGACGGTTTTGGAATTTTTATAGCTTAAAGGAGAACATTCCGACGCTATGCATGTTTCCCGTCTTATCTTTCAGAATTTTTTAATAAAACTTGACGTACAATAAATAGAATAAAGTAATCTGTTCCTTTCTTCAATGCGATAAAAACATCTAATTAATTACAGTTTACTTTTACTTTTCACATTCGTTTAAACATTCGTTTCTCGTATAAAATCTTTCTACGATTTTTGATCGTGTGTATGATCTTGACTCGAGTCGGAGAAAATGTTTAATTATTAAACGATTAAATCGTCGTGGTTTGTTTGTTGACCGATTCTATACCCGTTTTGGACGAAAGAATATAAATTCTCGATGCGATGAATCGGCATCGACATTCAAATATTTGTTTATAAGAAAAGAGATGGAATTTTAATCCATGAGTTAGTTTATTCCCGCATATTTATGCGATTGATTCGAGGGGAAAAAAACATTGAATAGCGGAATTTTCACTTTCATTTTTCCAAGACACGCATGCTTGCATTCTAGATATTGGAATTGCAATTTTTACGGTTTTTCTTTTTCTTATCGTTTCCTTTCTTCCATATCATTGTTCTACAAGGAAAACTCTTTGCTGATGCGAACATATGTCCTTACGTAATTCCGTTTCTGACAAAATTATATTATATTTAAAAGTTACATTATTATAAAAATATTTAAAAGTTTGGATCGCAGAAGATCGATCCACGAGCTGTTAATCTTCCACCACTTTCATACATCATTGATGCGTTATCGCGTACTTTGTGTATAACTCATAGAGTTACAATACGAGTTGACAAAAAATTCTTACATATTTAACGATAATGCTTTTTGTTAACACTTTTATCGATGAATCATTCAA